GAAGACAGGGCCCCGCGGCCGCAGACGCAAGCCGCAGCCCCGCAGCCCCCGAGCGCCCTTTGAAGGCTGGGGAGAGAGAGAGGCGGGAGCTGGGGACGTCAGGGCGAGCGAAGGGCGGGGGGAGGTCTGGGAAGGGCGGCGGGGCAGGAGCTGGCAGGGCGCCCCCTGCCGCCTCCCCCCGGCAGCGCCTGAGGAGGGCGGATTCGTCAATTTCAGGTTTTTGTTGTTGCCTTGCCTCCAGACTGACCAACTTTAGGAGTCCCGGTTTTTTCCTTCAAAACAATTCGAAGCTTTTCAAGCAGAGTAAAAACTCTTTCAAAGCGCTGGTTTGGAGGTAAATATCCAATTTCAAACTAAATACAGAGGTAGTTTTAACTCAGAATTGAGGGGAGAAGATGCTTATTTCAAACGCCTCTGATGTTGATAAATAAATTAATTAAAAGATAAATAAATCGCCTCTGATTTTGTACTCTTTGTCCCTGGTGTCCAAGAGCATGGCCCTCCTGAGCCCAGGTCTGGAGGCTGCTCGTCCTGACTTTCACCGTGACCTTGCCAAAGCACCAGAAAGAACCAGCAACAAATTTTGTATGCCAGGAAAATAGACTCCAAGCAGGATGCCTGCCCGACCTATAAAATGCTGTGAACCCAAACGGATCTTTACTCTGGGTCTTACCCGCCTCACAATTTTAGGCTCCAATATTAAAATGTAGTATTACCACTGCAGGTAGTACTTTTATTTAAAAGATGGGACGTGGGGGCCTGGGTGGGTCAGTAGGTTAAGCACCTACCTTCAGCTCAGGTCATGATCTCAGGGTCCTGGACTGGAGCCCCACCTCGGGCTCCCTGCTCCGCGGGAAGCCTGCTTCTCTCTCTCCCTCTGCCCTTACCCCCCACTTGTGTGATCTCTCTCGCTCTCAAATAAAATCTTTTTTAAAAAATGAAAAAAATAAAAGATAGGATGCACCGGATGTTGTCACAAGGTTTTGGGGTTTGGGTTTTTTTCATTGTTAACACTAGTATTATTGAGATATAATTCACAAACCATCCAATTCACCCATTTAAGTGGTTTTTAGTATATTCACAGAGCTGAGCAGCCATCACCATACTGACTTTTAGAACATTTTCATCACCTCCCCCCAAAACCCCAGTATCCGATAGCACTCACTGCCCCTCGCCCCATACCCCTCAGTCCTAAGCAACCACCAATCTACTTTCTGTCTCTATAGATTTGCCTATTCTGGACATTTCATACATATGGAATCATACAAGTTGTGGACCGAGGATATGTATCCAGGAATGGGATTTCTGGGTCATATGAGAACTCCATGCTTAACCTTTGGAGAAACTGCCACTGTTTTCCAAAGTGGCTCCACCATTTTACATTCCCACCAACAGTATATGAGGGTTCCAATTTCTCCTCACTGTCACCAACACTTGTTATTGGCTTTTTGATTAGAGCCATCCTAGTGGGTGTGAAGTGGTACCTCACTGTGATTTTGATTTGCATTTCCCTTATGACTAATGATGTTGAGCATCTTGTCATGTGCTTATTCACTATTTGTATAACTTCTTTGGAGAAATGTCCATTCAGATCTTTTGTCCATTTTTAAACTGGGTATTTGTCTTTCTTATTGAGTTGTAAAAGTTCTTTTTATATTGTGGATGTAAGTCCCTTATCAGATACAAATATTTTCTCCCATTCTGTGGGTTGTCTTTTCACTTTCTTGATGGTGTCCTTTGCAGCACGTCACAAGCCATTCTGACAAAAGCAGGATAGGACTTACCTCACAAAAATCACACTCTGGCTTCTCTTCATGTTTCAGTGATAATACAGGCCATGTCTCTATCCCACCCCCAAAAGAAAGCAGAAAGTGCCAGTATAAATCTTTGAAGAAATCCTTCCTTAATTCTAGTCCTGGTAGAAATTAGGAACTTCAACAAGTGACATCATTGTATACCCTCTTTTGTGGCCAATGAATGGAAAATGGGCTCTGAGGAGATCTGTAAAAACACACAGACTAGAATTGGGAAGAGGGAAGCTAGGGAAAACTTTCAACACCTCTGTTCCGAGCCTTAAAAAAAATAGGATGGACATGTTCTCCTTGCAGCCTTGTAATGCATAATAATAGTAATTTTCCTAATGTGCCTGTTTATCTGAGATTATTCCAATGCCTGGCACAGCCGTCAGGAGGGCAAAGATGCCCATTTCCCAATCACTTGCCATCATCTTGCTGTTGCCCCCACTTTAATCTTCCCGTGTTCCTTCCAGCTCTCACTGGAGCCCTGCTGACTGAGTGAGACTCACAGGAGTTGTGAATTCTGGCTTGAATAATACCTTCCTCTAAACACAAACCTGCTGGGTAAAGAACCCAGAATCTGCCTAGCTAACGAGTGCCTTCCCCGCAGTTGGTGCACGCGGTGCACTTTGTCATTGTCCCCCATAATTTGCACACCTGAAACAAGCCCCAGCCCCTTCTCCTGATGTCCTTCCTGCCTCCCATGCCCAGCCACACTGCGAAAATGACAAAGTGCTGGATTAGTCTCTTCTTAGTTGAACAGTTGTTCAGTTCTTACCCCTGCCTTGTCCCTTACTAAGCGCCTGTCATTTGGACTAGAACAGTGGAATGAATACAGTGGAAGCACTGTAGTCAAAAAAGTAAGATTAGGGCGCCTGGGTGGCTCAGTTGGTTAAGCGACTGCCTTCGGCTCAGGTCCCTGGAGTCCCGGGATCGAGTCCCGCATCGGGCTCCCTGCTCGGCAGGGAGCCTGCTTCTGCCTCTGACCCTCCCCCCTCTCATGTGCTCTCTCTCTCATTCTCTCTCTGAAATAAATAAATAAAATCTTTAAAAAAAAAAAAGTAAGATTAAACCTAGGCATTTTTCTCATTTCCTTTTTTATTTTAGGCTGGTTATTCATACCAATTGTGGTCAAGCTAGTTAGCTCTTGGACTCATTCAATGTTGTAAAAAACATTTTAGTTACCATATGAGTGGCAGTTTCATTACTTTTGTCATCGTACCCAAGAACCAAGAGCAAATAGTGACACAAGACAAACAACCATGTTGCATAATAGTATATGTATTTGTTGGGAAAACTTTAACATATATAGTAATTCAACAAAGATTTGTTGAGCACCTAGTATGTGTCAGGCACTGTCCTTGGTGCTGAGGATAGCATAGTGAACAACACAGCCAGAGTCCCTGCTGTCATGTTAGATACAGATACTGAGAGATAGATATAGATATGGCTATAGACAGATAGACTTTTGTGTAGGTGCTATAAATATTGTATGGACATAGATCATTGTAATCTACCATACAATACAAGAAAAGCAAATAGGATGGATGAAACTCACAAGTAATATTAAGCATAGATTATATGTAAAATATTATCTTATAAAATATAGGTGAAACTCATAGGATGTTTTAAGTATACGTAATGAGTAAGCAAGAAATTTGTGAGAAAAAGGTAGACTTCATAAGGTGTATCAAAAATTTAAGTTATTTTCCTCTAAGACATGCTACAGAGGCAATATATGACGGAACAAACAAGAGTGTTATTTACAGATAAATGGGGATGGAAAGACCAAGTCATTCGGTATGAGCATACAATCTCTGACCTAACAGTTACAGCCCCCCAAATTGACCCCCCATGGGTGACACCCAGTACAGTCTCATTCTCGTCCCACATGTACCCTCTATCTTCTTGAACATATGGAGTATAGTTATAATAACTGTTTCAATGCCCTTGTCTACTAATACTGTCATCTGTTTTATTCCTGGATCTGTTTCTAGTGATTTTTCTCATTGTGGGTCATATCTTCCTTTCCTTTCTTTCTTTTTTTTTTTTTTTGCATGCCTGGTAATTTTTTATTAGATGCCACGCACTGCAAATTTTACTTTAATGGTACTGCACACTTTTGTATTCCTATAAATATCTTGAGCTTTATTCTAGGAGAGAGTTAAGTTACTTGGAAACAGCTTGACTCTTCTGAGGATTGCTTTTGAGCTTCAAGTGGGATCAGAGCAGCCTTTAGGCTAAGGCTAATTAATCCCCTCTAAAGGCAATACCCCTCTGAGTACTCTACCTGATGTCCTGTGAATTATGATGTTTTCCATTCCGGTCAGTGGACACAGAAGCTGTTCTGGTCCTCTGGGACCTCCAGGGATTGTTCCCTCAAATCCATTCAGGTGGTCCTTTCCTGAGCCTCAAGGGGTTTCGTCACGCACAGGTGCTGGTCAGTACTCTGCTGAAGATTCCAGATCTACACATCTCTGGAACTCTATGTGCAGCCATCTCCTCTTCAGTACTCAAACTGTAGCCTCCTTGGCCTTCCAGCTCCATCTAGTCAGTTCAGGTTGATAACCAGGCTCCTCGTGGGTTCCCTTTCTCTGTTCTCTAGCCTGGAATCTCTCTCAAGGCAGTTAGCTGGGGAAATTGTAGGGCTCACCCTGTTTACTTGTTCTTTCTCAAGTGTCTCTGTCCTGTGTTGTGCTTCTTAAGTGATTTTTGCAACCTTTTCATAAGTCTGAAATTCTTTTAAGATGAAAAGATTTAATAGTTTTAAAATTAAAAGAAAAGCACTTCTCCTCTTTAAGCTTGGTACAGGCTGAGCAAAATTGATGATGTGAAAAGGAGGAGCAGCGTTGGCTTCTTCTCTCCTCTTCCACCTTGCTAGCCATCCCTCTAAGGTGGGGGTGTGTAGTTAGAGGATCTAAGACAACCCCACCGATAGCTCTCTGGTGCTGAGATCACAACGGTCCAGGGGAAACATCTACCCTTTGCTCACAACCTCTGGGGGTGCTGGCCACTCCTATCCAGCCCCTCTCTTGCTGCCCTCATTTGAGCATTCAGCCAGCCATCTCGACCTCTAGATTTCTGAGATATGACTCAGACACTTGTCCTCTATGTCCTGAAAACTTCTTGTGACATATGTAGCAAATTCTCTTTGAATCCTTTCCCTAGGCTCATGGTGAGTGAGAGGCAGGCTTCCAACACCCCACTGGCAGGGAGGAACTCACCAGCACACCAGTCTCTCTCCAAAAATATTCTTCTAATTTCCAATTCCCTTTTCTGGGAATGTCCAGCATCACTTTGAAACTAGCATTTCATTACTGGTGCAAGACCTCCCAGAGCTCTCCTTTTTCTCTGCCATCAACTTTCTGCTACCAATAACATTCCAGATGGTACCTGCTTCATCAGCTTAGGGCCTGGAGGATGATGATAACATGAACCAGAGCAGCCACTTGACTTATAATGGACATTAAACAAAAACTTGAACGAGATCAGAGTGTTAGCTATGCAAATACGCATGGGAGGAGCGTTTCAGGCAGAGGGAAGAGCCAGTGCAAAGGCCCTAAAGCATCCTGATATGCTCAAGAAACAACAAGGCCAGTATCTCCAGATGTTTAGAATTCCATCATCTTATATTTTAACAACTCTAGTTTCCAGAAAGTTCTTCCATATATTCAAATGTCATCTTCTCTTGTAACTTTTACCCATTGATTCTAATTTAATTCTTCTCGCACATGGCAGCTTTCCAAGTACTGCTCTTAGGTCTTTTTTTTTTTTTTTTCTTTTCAGGTGATACCCTGCCTCCCAGACTCTTCAGTCCTTCCTCCATGACATGATTTCCAGACTAGTCACCACCTTGATGATTCTCTTCTAGAAGATTCCCTATTTGTCTCAATTGCTGTTTTGTGTGTGCAAAAGACTTTTTTAAAAATGAAACGTTTTTTAGTATTTATTTATTTTAGTTTAGTTTCGGTTTTTTTAATTTTAGTTTTTTAAAGATTTATTTATTATTTGAGAGAGAGAGCCCACAATGGGGGTGGGGGGAAGGGCAGAGGGAGAGAGAGAATCTTAAGCAGACTCTCCGCTGAGCTCAGAGCCGGAGTCAGGGCTCGATCTCAGGACTCTGAGATCATGACCTGAGCCAAAATCAAGGGTTAGATGCTTAACGGACTGAACCACGCAAGTGCCCCTTATTTATTTATTTATTTATTTGAGCGGGGGAGGGGCAGAGGGAGAGAATCCTCAAGCAGACTCCCTGCTGAGCACAGAGCCCGACGTGGGGCTCGATCCCTGGACCCTGAGATCATAACCTGAACCGAAATAAAGGGCTGGAGGCTCAACTGACTGAGCCACCCAGGTGCCCCTAAAATTAAACATTTTTATTTTGGGATAATTGTAGGTTCATATGCAACTGTAAGAAATCATACAGAGAGATCTAGCGTACACTTTAATCAGTTTTCCCCAATGGAAACATCCTGTTGAACTAGAGTACACTATCACAACCAAGGTAGTGACACTGTAGTCAGCATACAGAACAGTTACATCCTATTGCCCTTTGATTCCCACAGCCATCTCTCTCCTCACACCCCATACCTGACTACTGGTAACCACTAATCTGTTTTCCATTTCTATAATTTTGTCACTTCAAGAATGTTTTATAAATGGAATCATATAGTATGTAACCTTTTAGGATTGTCTTTTTTCATCCAGCTTAATTCCCCTGGGATACATCCAAGATGTTGCACATATCAGTAATCCATTCCATTTATTGCTGAGCACTATTCCATGGTATGGATGTACCACAGTCTCTTTAACCATTTATCCTTTCAAGGACACCTGTGTTGCTTCCAGTTTGGGGCTACTGTGAATAAAAATGCTATGGACATGCATATATAGGCTTTTATGCGAACGTAAGTTTTCATTTCTCTGGAATAAATGCCTAGGAATGCAAATTCTGTGTCATATGGTAGTTGCATGTTTAATTTTTTTTAAGAAACTGCCAAGTTGTTTTCCAGAGTGGCTATACCATTTCACGTCCCCGTCAGGGATGCAGGGGTGATCTGGTTCCTCCACATCCTTACCAGTATTCGGTGTTGTTACTTTTTCATTTTAGCCATTCTGATAGGTGTGTAGCGATATCTCATTATGGTTTTAGTTTGCATTTTCCCAATGGATAATGACGTTGAGCATCTTTTCATGCGCTTATTTGCCAAGTGTATATCTTATTTGGTGAATATCTGTTCATATCTTGTGCCCATTTTCTAAATGGAATGTTTGATTTTTTACTGTTGAATCTTAAATGTTTTCTTTATATTCTAGATACTAGTCCTTTGCCAGATAGGCGGTTTGCAAATATTTTCCTTCAGTCTGTAGATTGTCTTTTCATCCTTTTAATGAGGTCTTTCATAGATAGAGCAAGTGTTTTTAATCTTGATAAGACCCAATTTATCAATTTTTCTATTTATAAATTATGCTTTTAATTCCATGTTAAAAAAAAAAAAAAAACCTCTTTGCCTAGTCATAGGGTCCAAAGATTTCCTCTTATGTTTTTTCCTAAAAGTTTTGTAGCTTTAGGGGCATCTGGGTGGCTCAGTCAGTTAAGCATCCAACTCTTGATCTCAGCTCAGGTCTCAATCTCACGTTTGTGAGTTCAAGCCCCACACTGGCCTCCATGCTGGGCATGGAGTCTACTTAAAAATAATAATTGTAGTAAAAGTTTTGTACCTTTGCATTTTACATTTAAAATCCATTTTTACTTAATTTTTGTATAAGGTGTGAGGTTTAGGTAGAGGTCCGTTTTTTTGGCCTCTTGGATGTTCAATTGCTCCAGTACCATTTTGTGAAAAGACTATCTTTCCTTCATTAAATTGCCTTTACCCCTTGGTCAAAAATCAGTTGGGAATATTTGTATGCATCTATTTCAGGGTTCTCTGTTCTGTTCCACTGACCTATGTGTTTATCCCTCTGCCAATCCACACTGTCTTGACTGCTGAAGCTATATACTAAGTGGGGCGAGTGATTCCTCCTTTATTTTTCTTTTCCAAGACTGTTTTAGCTGTATTAGGGCCTGTGCTTTTCCATATAAACTTCAGAATAAGCTTGTCTATGTCCACAAAAAAAAACCGTGCTAGGATTTTGATGGGAATTACATAAACATATAGATCAATTTGGAAAGAATTAACATATTTATTATGTTGAATCTTCCAATGTATGAATACAGTATTCCTTTCCGTTTATTTAGATGACCTTCTCATTTTATAATTTTCAGCATCCAGGTTGTGTACATATTAAGTTTATGCCCAAATATTTAGGGTTTTTTAGAGTGAATATAAATGGTGTGGTTTGTAATTTCAGGTTCCACATGTTCATTATCAGTATGGAGAAATGCAATTGTTTTTGTGCACTGCATTTCTCTTATTACATGACCTTGCTGAGCTCACTTCAGGAGGTTTGTGAGTTTTTTCCTTGGGATTTTCCATGTAGACAATCATGTAATCTGCAAATAGGGATAGTTTTATTTCTTCTTTCCAAGGTGCATGCCTTTTTTTCTTTTTCTTGCCTTGTTGCTATGGCTGGAACTTGCAGTTCGATGTTGAATAAGAGCACTGAGAGCAGACATCCTTGCCTTGTTCTAATCTTAGAGGGAAAGTATTCAGTCTTTCACCCTAAGTATGATGTTAGCTGTGGGTTTTTTGCAGATACTATTTATCAAGCTAAGGAGGTTTCCCTCTATTTCTAGTTCACTGAGAATCATTATTGTGCATGGGTATTGGATGTTTTTCAAATGCTCTTTCTACATCAATTGATATGATCATATGACTTTTTTCTTTAGCCTATTGATATGGTGGCTTACACTGATTTTCCAACGTTGAGCTTGCATACTTCAAATAAAGTCTAGTTGGTTGTGGTATATAACTCTTTGTATGCATTTCTGGATTTTACTTCCTAGTACTTTATTACGAATATTTGCATCTAGGTTGATAAAATATACTGACCTGCAGTTTTCATTTTCTGGGGTACTGTCTTTTCCTTGTTTTGATATCAGAGTACTACGAGCCCCATAAAATGATTTGGGAAGTGTTCTGTCCTCTTCTCTTTTACGGAAGAGATTGTGTAAAATTGGTGTTACTTCTTTAAGTGTTTGGTAGAATTCTCCAGTGAAACCATTTGGATCTGGAGATTTCCTTTCCAGTGTCTTTTAATTACACATTTGATTCTTTTGGTAATGGGTATAGAACTGTTAAGCTTGTCTATTTTATTTTGGTTGAGTTTTGATAGTTTGTGAGTTTGCAGCAATTGGTCCAATTCTTCTAAGATGTTGAATTTAGATCATGAAGTTGTTCATAGTATTCCCTTCTTAACCCTTTGATGGCTACAAAATCTATAGTGGTACCCCCATTTCATTCTCAACTTGGTGATTTATGCCTTCTCTCTTTTTGTCAGTCCTGGTATTTATTCAAGTAAATATAAACATTCAAGTCTTCCAATGGAGCCCATCAAAGATAGTCTTCATTTCTGTTACTTCGTTTTTAATTTCCAGCCATTTTATT